CCCAAAAGTGCTAGGGCTATAGGTGTGTGCTGCATCTGGCTTTCACATAGGTGTTGGGGATCTGAACTCAGTCCTTAGGGTTGCTTGGCAAGCACTTACTGAGTCACCTCCCCAGCCTCAGGTTTCCTTGTTCTTAGCAAGTGTTTCTAAACAATCATTTAGAATTCACTTGTCTTTTTTTACTGTCACAAGCCTATGGTTTTGATCATCTGGCCTTTAGTAAATTATTCAGAGAATTGAACTAAAATAGAAAATACATACAAATGCATGTCCAGAACTAGGTGACTCTTAGCTCTGGGGTGTGGGTATAGGAGGGCTAAGGGCTTGAACTTTCTCCTCTTCTTTTGAGTTCAGCTGGACTCCTGAGTGAGCTAAAGGCTCACCCTCCTAACTGAAGAGCAATAGAATCGCCATTGAAAAGGATTATGTGTAGAAGGAGATGGAGGGAGAATTGGCCTGGCTTCATGGCTATGCTTGTTGGCAGTACTGACTGTTGTGTTGGGATTAAGTACTATTTAATATGGGATGTTCTCATTAAGGATATGAATTTCTGAGTCATTAATTTGATGGCTTCATACACAGGTGAGGTTGTATTATTTCTTCCTGGTGAGAGAGCTTTGCCAGGAGCTAGGTAATTATAAAAAACAGCTAACATTTATATGATGCCAACTGACATTTTACAAGCATTCTGCATATGCTTATTTTCTCATCCCTGTAGCCCTGCAGGATAAGGACTGTTGTTCATCCTGTTTTTCAGATGAAATTGTGGAACAATTTTATCCCATTTGTCTCAGACCCTGTAGCTTCTGCTCTTGAAGCCAGACATAGTCTGCTCCAAAGGTTTTTCCCTTAGTCTTTGCTGTCGACTTCCAGCTAGAAGTAGAGAAAGAAGTGTCAGTATATAGAGTGCAGAGTTTGGTGTGCTATACAGATTACCTTTGAGAGATAATGGGAAAGTAATGCAGCTTACTGGCTGCTGATGGTGAAGGAGAATGAGTAATTAAGGGTTACTTCCAGGATTTAGAACTGACCTCAAGCTCTACAGAGCTGTCTGGCATTCTTTTCCCTGTGGTTTTTCGGAACTACTTGGCTGAGTTGTCTGGTGGTAATAAGACAGCATGCTAGTTTCCTTGTCAGACAAGGAGGATGGGGAGGCCTCCCACCTGGCTCTGTCCGCTCCTGCCTCCTGAAGCTGTGAGTTGTCATGCTGCTCACCACTCTTGCTGACTGTTGACTCTGCTCTGCCTTCTTACTTTGAGCACTTCCTGTTCTTTTTCCTGTGGTTTTTCTGCACATCTCCAGGGGGCCATTTATTTCTTCTAAATTCCTGATCTGCCTTCTAGTTTTGATTTGAAGTCAGAAACTCAGGCAGGAATTGTACCCAGGCCCTAACTTCCTAACTTGCTTGTTATTTTGGACAGATCAAAGGAGATCATTTTTTAAGGGTGCTCCCCACCCCACACACTGCTCCATCTCCTTCACAGTGTTGTAGTGAGACTAGAATAGAATAACTCATGAAAATACCTTGTAAAGCAGAAAGCAGACAATAAATATATGCATTATTAATATCCCAAACTTGCCTGTGTGGGGTTATCTACTTCTTGCTTTGGTATCCTGGCTGTTGTTGGTTATGTTCTCTTGTTTATCTTGATGGCTTTGGCTCTTACTCTCTTTGTATTTCTAAGCACTTGGCAGAGTGCTGTTTGGCATTGATAGGGCACAATAAGTGAATGAATTAATCAAAAAAAGCCTGTCTAAAGAAAGTTTGTGGTTATAAGGGTCCCTCCTTCCTGAGCAAACCCACCCAACATACCTCTTCTTGAGGTGATTTTGCTAAAATATTTTGTTTTAACCCCATTTTTTTTTTCAGGATGCAAAATTCTAGTGCCTTCTGTAAGACCTATCTTTATTCTGTATTCTCTGGATCTTGGATTAGATGTGCAAAACATTTGATATTCAGACTTTATTCATTCACTTAACAAATGGGGAGCCCAGGTCTTTTCCTGGGGCAGAAGGGGCAGCAGTGAACCATAGGTGGAATTCCTGCCCTCATGCAGTTTCTGTTCTAGTGAGGGCGCCAAATGATACAGACATAACTGGGTAAGTGGACTTTTGGCTCATTTTAGTGCCATCTTTGATGAGAACTCTCAGGACAGTGAGGAGTCCTGAGCTGGTGTAGATAAACTGAGTAGTGTGTTACTAGTGCTATGCCTGGCTTAATGTGTACTGGATGACCTTGTAGGTAGCTACTTGTCCTGCCAGTGAGAGCTTTATGCTCTTATCAACAAGAAATACTTTAGATGGTTGAGGAAGAAGGTGCCGCTACCTGGCCTTTGGTTTCAGGAAAGCATTGTGTCTATATGGAAGCCCCTCAGTTCTCCAGGCCTGTCTTTGTTCTGGTTGCTAGTATTTTAAATGTCTTGGCATCAGGGCCAAGGGGTAAGGTGGGAGAGTTGCTGATCATCCAGTAACCTTTCTGGGGTATATTGATGCTTCTTTACCTGTACCTCCCTGCTAAGGGAGTGATTTGTTTCCCTGTGGCTTCCTGAGTCTGAAGCCCTTTCACTGCAAGGAAAAAAGGCAGGAGATGGGATGAAAAGTACAGAGTGACACCTAGGACATTTGTGGTTTTCTTTGAGGTATTAATCAGTGATCTCATTTCTGAAGGATGAGGCCAATCTAGCTATAGGATGATCTGGGAGTCAAGCCAGTCCCTGAGGGGATCCAAGTAGAAAATATATTTGAGAACTTTGAGGATTGTAAAGACATCACATAGGCTAGAGTGTAGGGCCTGAGGGGGACAGTCATGTGCAGTGGAGGTGGTTATTAGGGACAATTGCTCAGTTGAGGTGCAGACAGCCTGGCAGTGGGGTGACATGTTTTAGCCTGACAGTGAGATGTGACTGGACCATCTGTGCTTAGTGCTCTGGCAGAAAGGGCATTTAGTGCCAGGCTCGCCACTGGGTGTGAGCTGTAGTTAAAACATTCACAGTCCTTCCTGCCAGTCTGGCTGCACCTCCACTGTGTGACTTCCACCTGTCCCTCCCCTGTCCTGGGACTTGTCATACTGCTTCATTCCTCAAGGCATGCTGGATTCCTGACTGAATCAGGTCCTCTCTGTGAGATATAATCCCTGACCTCATAGAACCTACAGTCCCATTCATGCACCACTAAACCCCTGAACCTAGCACAGTAGTTTGTTGATACTGTGTTAAATCAGTTGAGTAAAAGAAACACCTTAATTGGTCAAAAATAAAATAATGACTACTACTTACCTACTTACAAGCAGGAAGTCCTGAGGTCATCAGAACCTAGATGTCATGTTGCAACAGGCAGATTGTGAGTAAGGCTGTGGAGGATTCCTAGAGAGACTATGTTGCTCCTAAGAATGACAGTAGTCAGAGATGAGAATGTCCTTCAGTTGGAAGAGTGCTTGCTTAGTATGTGTGAGACTCTGAATTTGATCCATAGTACCACATAAAGCCAGGTATAGCACTGGAGAAGTGGAGGCAGGAGGATTAGAAGTTCAGGGTCATCCTCCACTATATAGGGAGTTGGAGGCCAGCTTGGGTTGTAGGCCTTGTTTTTAAATAAAACCAATAAACAAGTGAGTAAGTAAATACATAAAAAATGATGGTGTTCATGTGTGTGATGATAGTACTTTCTCTGTGCCTGTTTTCACCAAGGTAAATTTGTCAGCTACTGGGAGTCTACTGTTTGGTGATGTTTTATTTTGGTCAGTAAAAATAATATGAAATTGACAAGTCCTGTGAGTTTATAAACATCTTAGATGCATTGTTCTAAAGACCTTGTTAACAAAAAAATTTATACTAAAGGGCTTTCTGTGGTAGCCAAAGGAAGTCAGTTCTGTAGATCCATGCTGTTTTTTACTGTTAGCTCTATGGACTTGGGCATGCCGTGAGTGTGCCACATGGACTGCAAACACAGAACATGTTATTCTGTTAAAGATCGAATGGTACCATCAGTTTCTTTTCTTGAGTAATCTTTAGAATTTTGAGACTGTTTCTAATTTCCCTTGTATGTATAATTCTACAGCATTATAACCAGAAGATTGTAAATGGCACAAACAACATTGCTATCTTAGAAAAAATGGACAAAGGCTTGTAGGTAACCTCCCTTAGCTGTGAGGTTTTTGCCTGGGCTAATCAGGCCCCTGGAAAGAACGAACCCTATTGGGAATGGTAACTGTACCACCTGCTTCTGGCATGTAGTTCCTGATCTTAACAACACCATGTAGCACAACAGGAATTCTTGATCCACAGTATTGAATGGGAGGGATGGAGGGTAGGGCACCTAGGCGAAGGTAGAGGGCACGGAGCCCAATGTGTGTGACTGCAGGGATGTATTGGGAGGATGTGCTGGGTCACTTGAACTGGTTTCTCTTTTTGTGCCTAGAGCACTGTGGTGGTGGAGAGGAGGAAGGTTGATCTGTGTAAGACCCCCACCAGTTGCTTTCCAAATATCTAAGACCCATTCCCTCTTTGAGGCCCCTGTCAAAGCTGCTTCTTCCATGAACCTCAGCAGACCCACCCACTACCTCCAACCTTTCTGCTTGTCTGTGAGTGTTGTCCCCAATTAGTTCTGACCTTTTGTAGGCCTCACAGTTTTCTGCACATTTATGTGGTGAGTGGTACTCTCTGTACAGTTCTGACCTCTCTTGGGTGAATAACCAAGTGAATATGATTCTGGTTTTTCCTCATAAGGGAGTAAGACTAGCTTTATTTTCTTTCATTTCTGAAATGTTTGTGAACTTTTTGTTGTTGTTGTTGTTGTTTAATTATTTATTTGTTTTCAACACAAGGATTCTTTGCAATAGCTCTGGTTGTCCTGGAACTCACTTTGTAGACTAGGCTGGCCTTGAACTCACAGAGATCCATGTGCTTCTGCCTCCTGAGTGCTGAAGTAAAGACTTATACCCCCCACACCTGGCTATATTTGTGAGTTCTAATAATGATGTGAATGCAATCTTCTCTTTTCAGATAATGTGGATGCGAGTGATCTTAAGCAGTTTTTTGAGACCAACTATTCTCAGATATATTTCATCTTCTATGAAAATTTTATAACACTGGAAAATAGCTTGAAGTTAAAAGGTAAGCATTTCTACAACTCTTTCTTTGAGTACACAGGAAATTTCAGAAGTTATGTTGTCATGAGTCACAAGTTCTGCATTTTTAAGCTTTCTTTCTTCCCGGGCTTTGAGACATTCTTCTGGTGGACTGGTTGGCATCTCTGTGTCCCCTGAGTGTTCTCTTACACAGGAGTTAATTGTACAGCAGATGGCTAAAGGTAAAGTAGAAGGAACCCACTGAAGGCATGAATTACAAAGGGATAAATTATTTAAGGAGCAAGGGAGAAAAATAATACATGGACATTTAAAAAAAAATCCAGATTTAAGCTGAATTTGGTGGCACAAGCTGTAATCCCAGAACTGGGATGAGTTCAAGACTGGCTGGCCTACATAGTGAGATCCCTCTACAAAAGCCAAACACAATAATACAATACCAACAGCAAAACCACAGTCCATTAAAGGGGATGTGAAATGCAAGCAAAGCCAAGTGTCTCCTTTGTCTGTGCTTTCTTTTCTTAGAGGTTTTTTTTTTCTTCTAATTATCAATGAGTTTTGTTATGTATGTTTTCATATTTATGCCCATATGTAAAATATTCTTTGGAAAGCAGACCAGCTATGGATGGGAATTTGGGTGAGGGAATTGAGTAGTTGGGAAGCCAGACTATCCTTTCTTTCTTGCTGTTTCTCCTTGAGCATTACTTGGTCTGTCTGTGTTGGTTTCCTCCTGTCAGCAAGAAGCGGGTTAACAGATACACTAGGATTTCAGCACAGAGCTTGGCACATAGCACCTGGTCAGTAAAGACCTTTCCATTTCAGGTCATCTATTTGGGAAATTAGGAAAAACAAACGGAGGTGTTTCCCCCAGTCTCTCTCACCAACTTAGCATAACATTCTTCTGCTAGAGCCTCCAGCAAACATCAGCTGGTACTGTTAGCCATTCAACCTTGCCAGGCTGCTGGGAGATAGTTTTAGATCCTGCAGGCTAAGGACTGAGTGCCACAAGGCTGCCTCCTTTAATGTCAGTTGTAGGTTCTAGATTGCTGCCTGTGAAGCTACAGACTGACTATAATCAGGAGTCTAATACTCTCTTCTGAGTGTCGCTTAATTTGCTGGAGGAGTTAGCAGAATGTAGGGAAACAACCTTACTTGTTTATATTACAAAGTTTTTGTTCATATAATGCATTGCACAAGAATAATACAGATTTTAAAGGATGCTTACCAACAGCCAGATAAGGAGCTGTGTGTGAGATCTGGAAAGTTCTGAGCACAGGAACTTCCTTGCCATGGAGTTGGAGAACACTACTCTGCATGTACATGATGCATTCTTCACAATGTGGGAGCTCCCTTAGCTAGCATCTTTTGGGTTTAATGGAGGCTTCATTATGTAGGCATGATTGACCACTTTATTAGTCATAGGTGATGAACTCAGCCTGAAGGTTGTAGGTAGGTCGATGGAGCGGAAGTAGGATTTGAAGTGTACAAGAGCATTGCAGGTAGAGGACAGAGCTTGAGCAAAGGTAGTAAATGCCCTTAGGGCATGTGTGGGACACATGTTTCTTTTTCTTGCAGCACAAGGTTTGTGAATGAGATATGTAGGAAATCCATTATGTTTGTCAGGAGCCTTGACTTCCAGGCTGAGGAGTTGGAACTTTGTTTTTAGTTAGAGCCATTAAAACCATTAGTCTCTGAGACAAGTGTCCTGTTAAGTGGTGAGTGCATAGGGCACAGAGGTGAGTTTGGGGGCTGGTGCTGCCACCCATGTGAGAGCTGCTACTCTGCTGGACAACTGTCGAAATGGACACAACGAGGTGGTGGTTAAGGGAGAAGCAAGAGTTCCTGTGAGATGGAATACCAAATCAAAGATCCTTTCAGTCTGTATTTGAGGTTTGAGGCACTTATGGGACACAGGAACAATTGTTGGCTGAGTGGCAGAAATATAGGTTATCTGAGCTTAGGAGATGAGGGTAGAAGGTTGCTATTGCCAAGGGAGAATCTATATCAAGGAAAAGGGAATCAGCAAATACAGAGGAGAGAAATACATTAGTGGAAGGGTGTAGAAGGAGATTTTCTCCGTCTATCTTGGTCCCACTGGGCCTGCAACCGCTTAATGAAATAACCACTCTGAGACTTAATATCAGTTACAATTGTTCAGCCTGTGGCTCAGGTGTCTTACTGGCTAGTTCTCTCTTAATTACTAACCCATTTCTATTAATCTGTGTATCTCCACATGGCCTTGGCTTACTGGTGATATCGGGGCTCTTGACTCCTGGCTGCTACATGGCATCTGTCCTTTCTCTTCCTTCTCCCTACCTCTTTGTTCGGTATTCCCACCTAGTTACATTCTGCCTGTCCATTGGCTGAAACAGCTTTATTCATCAACCAATAAGAGAAACATGTAGCCACAACATACAGAAAGACATCCCCATCAGAAGGGTGTTAGGAAATCATATCACAGAAGTGCAGGAGAGAAATTTCAAGGCATGCAAGATCACAAAGTCTGATGATGCAGAAAGATGAGGTGCAGTAGGATTAGGAAATAAGAGCTCACATCTGACTGAAGACAGTTCTTGGTGAGGAACGGTCAGACGCTTAACAGGTGGACATGGAGCTGAGAGCTGTGGAGCTGGGGAAAGCACCCATGGAGCTGTGATGTGTAGACAGAGAGTGTGGGAAAGTTGCTAAGGGCTGCCTGCACCTTTCTGTAGGCAGCCTGAGGGGAGGTAGTGGATAGTGTTGGGGTTGAAGAAGGGAGTGAAGTAAACAGTAGAGAGACAGAAGCAAGTGCAGAGTGACCCTTTGGTCTAAAGAGAAAAGCTAGAGAATGAGTGTAGGTAGATTTGGGGGGGGGGCAGGAAAGAAAAAATGAAGGGCTTCCCGAAGTACCCCAATTGCTGTGATTGAACAGAAGTGTGTCCTGTTTGTGGAGGGGAAGGGATGTAGGTCAGTGTTCAGCGAGCTCTGCGATGCAGAATATGACTCAGTCTTACCAAGAGCTTGGGACTGTGCCTAGGATGCCAGCATGTGCTTTTATTAAGGTGTTTCTCAGTTTCCATCTCAGATTTGTAAGTTGGTATAAATCTTGAACTTAAGAAAAATTATTTTGGCCCAAAGGGTAGATATTCCAAATATGAAATGATCTGTATTTACTTTGTTAGTTTTGCTCTACTCCACTTTATTTTTACAGGTATATGGAGGAAAAAAAAGTCACAATTTTTGCATTCAATAGAAGTGTGGTAGCTCAAGCTGTAACCCCAGCACTCAGGCAGAAGCAGGAGGATCTGTGAATTCAAGGCCAGCCAGGTCTATATAGTGAGTTTGAAATTTGCTAAGGCTATATAGTTACACCCTGTTCACACACACACACACACACACACACACACACACACACACACACACGAAATAGTAGTGAAAAATTAAAATATCAGATATTAAAAAAAAACAACTGTCTAAAATTATTTTAAGTCATAACCCATTTTCTCTTCTTTCTTTCCTATTCTTTTTTTTTTCCACTTTTATTACATCCATCCTTTCAGAAAATTTGTGGTATTTCAAGACTGTATCAGTTATTCGTGCTCTAAAAAAGCACTCCCAAACTAAATCCTTGAAACAAACACCATTCCTCATATGGATCTCTAGGACTGTTAGAAAGTTCTTCTAGTTTAACTAGCTTATGCTTTTTGGTCAGCTGGTTTGGATGGCCTCAATCACATGTCTTACAACTGAACAGAATGCCTTACTTCTAACTGTGGAGATTTATCATCCAGCCAGCAGACCAGATTGGATTCCTTTACAGGATGGCCTCAGAGCCTCAGGATCAGCCATAGTGCCTCACATTTGCTATCACTTGGTCAAAGGTTATCCTGAGGCAGTTCAGATTCAAGAGATAGAAAAGGAGACATCTCTTTATGGTAGGGAGAAGACTGTGCCCGCTTTTGGAAGCTCTCACAAAGATTCAGCAATAACCAGTAGGAACAGGGTGGGATTTTTGGAATCTCTTCCTTTATTGCAGTCTGTATTGGAATACAGAAAGGGAAGGGTACCCTTCAAAGGGAAGAAAAAAAAATGTTTACTAGTAATAATGAAATAATTTCATGGTAACTTCAGGTTCCCAGTTATTTAGGACAAAACATTGGAGATTGTGGCTCTCTCTTCAGAATGTGTCAGTGACCCATCTCCTAACCCACATGGATAACACCAAAGCTTCTAGTATCTTCATCTAGACTGGTACTAGCCTTAGAAAGGGTCTCCTAGATTCCATTCTGTTCTTTCTCCTACTCCCAAGGTTCTTTTCAAAAAAGTAGCTGAAGACATGACTTCTGAGGCTTTAGTCCTCTATGTCTTTTCATTCTCAAATCACTACAGTGACTTTATCCTGTCCCCATCTGCCTTCCTTTGCCACACCCACTCTCTAAGCTTATCTGCTCAAATCTTCCCATCTTTACCCTAACCTTTGGGTCCTTCTGGCTGTTTCCTGACCTCTCAAGCATGCTCAGCCACAAGAACTTTGGTCCACTCTTCCTGCCTGGGGTGTGACTCCCTCATATTTCTGTGTAGCTTGCTTCTTTGCCCATGTACTTCTTTGCCTAGTTGTCACTTTTCCAGCAAACTATTTCCTAACTTCCCAACTCAGGATTGCATATTTGTTTTAATATTGCTCATTTGCTTTTGCTCATGCATTTTCTAGCTTTACTTATAGTTTGTCTTCTCCTGTCTTCCCCAGAGCAAAGTGTGTTGTTTGTTTGTTTCATTCCTTTGTCCTCAGAGCCCAGCAGAATTCCTGAGAAACAGATAGTTTTTAGTATTTGTAAATGAATGAATGATACCTCCTTCTTAGAGCTATGAGGATTCAGTTAGGCCAGGAGTCTGCAACTGATAGCTTACTTGACTTTTGCTATTGTCCTTGTTTTTGACAGGCTCTTGCTATGAAACCTAGGCTGGCCTTGAGTTTTTGGTGATTCTTGGCCTCCCACACTACCAGTATTACAGCTCTGGGCCACCATGCCCCACTGGCTTCATTGGATATATTCATCTCCGTTCATTTACATACAGCCTGTGGTAACAGAGTCTGATATTTGCAAGAAAGATCCGAAAAGCCTAAAATGTTTATCTGCTGATTTCTTAAGATAGATGACTTAAGCCACATGTGTAACAGAATGTCTGGGACATTCTGTAGACAGACAGTAAATGGTAATTCCTGCTGGGGGCACGTGGTACAGTTTTTATATTAATATTATCAAAAGGACATTGTGGGGCTGGAAGTGCAGCTCAATTGGTAGAGAGCTATCGTAGCACGCAGGAAACCCTGGTTTGGTTCCAACATCACATAAAACTGAGTATGGTGGACATCTTTTGTAGTCCTAGTACTTGGGAGGTGGAGGCAGGTGAATCAAAACTTCAAGATCATCCCTCAGTTACATATCAAGTTAAAGGCTAGCCTGAGCTACAATGAGACCCTGTCTCAAAAAAAAGATTAAAAAAAAAAAAAAAAAAACTAAAAAGAAAAAAAGAAGTGTGAAACTGTAGGATGAAGCAGACAGACTCTTCTCTTAGATGTTCACACTCTGTGCTTGTTAATATCATTGTTTGTCCTGTGCATTTTTACCATAATTTGAGCTGGTAAGTACCTAGTTAAGAAACAAGCTTAGAAAACATGGATATTATGTCTGAAGAGCTAGTGGTTGATATGGACTTGATGAGACAACTCGTCCTTCTTCCTAGCAGTACCCTCTCCCCCCAGTCTCAGTAGTTTCTAATTTAAGATGCTTTCATGTGTGATATTTTAAAGCTTAGGTGCTAGCATGCTGACTAATGTCTTTTTCTTAATTTTCAGGGAATAATAAGTCACAAAGGGAGGAGCTGGACTCCATCCTCTTTCTTTTTGAAGTAAGTTTGGTTATTATTATTATTATCTTTTCAGCTTCTAAAGTCTTTGTTAAAAAATGATACTTTATTCGATCCTTAATTTTACCCAAAGAGAAATAGAAATGGCTGTGCATGGCTGTACCCTGCCCTTTACCCACTTCTACGACAGATGCTGCTCAAAATGTTCATGGGATTTTGTACTAGTTAGAAGAGTAAACACATTTTAAATAGTAATAGCTTTTGCTGTCTTCCTTTCCATATGAACTTTTATGTGAGTTTTACATAAATGTCCTCTGTCCCCAATGACCTGTCTTACTGACATGTGAATCTGACATGCAGAAATTCAGTTTTCCACATATTTACATAATATTTTAAAAATTATTTATTTTTATGTATATGGATGGGGGTATGTTGTCTGCATGTGTGTCTGTGCACCACACATGTACAGTGCCCTTGGAGGCAAAAAGAGGTGTCAGATCGCTTAGGACTGGAGTTACAGATGGTTGTTAGCTGCCCTGTGTGTGCTGAGCTTGTACCTGGATTCTCTGGAAGAGTGGCCAGTACAGCTCTTAACAACCGAGACTCTTTGGCCCCTTGATAAATTATTTTTGATTACTGATTGGTTATGATTTTTGCATATCTATATCTTTGTGTACATATAGTCTTTGAAGCTAGAATGGGTTTTTTTTTTTAATTAAATTAGATTTATTTGTGTATATGTGCATACCCCATAGTTGAGCATGTGAAGTTTAGATGACAATTTGCTACAATAAATTCTCTCCTTCTATCATGAGGTTCTCAGGGATTGAACTCAGGTTGCCAGGCTTGATAGTAGGGCTTTACCTGCCAAACCATTTTGCCAGCCACTTGGCAGCATTTTTGCTTTTGAATGTTTTTGAGATAGGCTTTCTCTGTGTAGACCAGGCTGGTGTTGAACCTGAAGAGATACACCACCACATCCAACTTGGGTTATTTGCGCGCGCGCATGTGTGTGTGTGTGTGTGTGTGTGTTTGTGTGTTAAATATAAAATTCCTCTTGCCCAAATGTACTAATGTACTAAGCTAGATTATGGACACCAGAAGAACGAGACTCAGAGCTGAATTACAGATTTCTTTTTTTCTTCCTCTTCTTTTGAGAAAGGGTCTCTTGACATAGTCCTGATTGTCCTGAACTCTCGGTGTAGACCAGGCTGGCCTCGAACTCATAGAGATCCATCTGCCTCTGCTTCCTAAGTGTTAAAATTAAAGGGTGTGCCACTGCATCTGGCTTATAAATTAATTATAAATTAGAAATTAAAAGCACTTACTTATTTGATGTGTGTATGCACATTTCCCAGTGCACATGTGGAGGTCAGAAGACAACTTTTGAGAGTTGCTTCTATTCTTCCACCAAGTGGGTTCTGGGAGCAAACTCAAGCACCTTACAGACTGAACCACATAGTGGAGCCCCTGGATTATACATCTGAATGTTAATTATTCATAGTTTGAGGTGGTGTGTGCATAGTTTGGTATAAGAAGATAAACTGAAGCTGGACAGTAATGGCACTTTAATCCCAGCACTACTGAGGCAGAGGCAGAGACAGGTAGACCTCTGAGTTCAGGGACAGCCTGGTCTAGAGTGACTTTCAAGATAGCCAGGTTAGAAAAAGAAACCCTGTCTCAAAAGAAAAGAGAAAAGAAAAACTGTGTGTATGCACAGGCCAGAAATCAACTTTGGGTGTGTCCATCAGTAATCAGTTTGTTTGTTTATTTGCTTGTTTTTGAGCCAGGGTCACTTACTGGGACCTACAATTTCCTTATCAGTCTATGCTAGCTGGCCAGAAAGCTCTAGGAATCTTCCTGTCTCTGCCTTCTCAGGACTGGGATTACAAGCAGGTACTACCATGCTATGCTTGCTTGTGTGGAAAGGACTTTGCTAATTAAGCTATCTCCCCAGCCCAAAGAAGAAAAACTTTTGACTGTAAGGGAAGTCGAAATGTGCAGACCCAGCTAGCGGGGAGGCCGGGAAAGGGAAACTCTTCGTGGGTGAATTGTGAGGGGCTGTTTGAATGGAGTAATGTCATGGGACATTTCCACAGGGCAACAGGCCTTGATCCGTGACATTATTTTGTTGTGGTCTTTGTATTTCCTATGGTTGCCCTCCAGTGAATGAAACCTTAAATGCAAGCAAAGTACTAGTCTCTGAAAATGTCTAGAATTGGAATACACAAGTCATCATCAGATTAATGCAGAGAAAAAACTTGAAAATTTAAAAACCCATCTTTCTTTTATCAAATAATTTGACCAAATTAGAATGGAAAGAAGTTTATGTACAGAGCAGCTACTAAAATTATAGAATATGTTAGTCTTATTGGTGAATCATGATTAGATCTGGCAATTCTAATATCTGAAGTGTTTAGTAGTTTAAATATGTTGGTTATCTTCTAGCATTGTGGCTTCTTGCATCTGTTGTGAGTTCAATCTGAATCACACAGACTGGGTTTTTGTTAAGCCTTTCTTTATCTAGATGTGTTTGTTTCAGCTTTTGACAGGAATTTGGGAGTGGTTTCAATTAGAATTGTTTTTATATTCCTTGAGAGTTACTAGTGGAATCTCAGGATGAATACCCAACACTTCTGAGGGTAAGGCTCAGGGTCTGGAAGGACCAGACATCTGTCCATTACAGTGTTGGATCCTGCATTTTTCTTTGCTTGTAGAACACAGATCTTTTTTTCTACCCCATTTCTTTTTCCCTTCTTGCTTTTTTTTTTTTTTTTTTGGTCCCTATTAGTTTCTCTGAGTCCTCAAAACCATGCAATGCTTTAATAGTTATATTTGTTGTTTTTTTCACTTGGAACTAGTTGTTCCAAAGGTAGGAAGCCTTCAGAGATCCGAGTTCCTACCCTCCCACAAACCCACAAAGGAAGTTTTGATGCCTTTCTTCCTGTCCAGAAGCTCTACACTAGGGAGAAAGCTATTAGTGATACATTACTATTTACAGAGAATTAGTTGCCTATATAGAAGAACAAATATATATTATTGAAAGCTTCATAAAACTTTCACTTTACATAGTAAATATGGGTGAATAATGAACTTGTATTTCTTCTGTTTATGCTGTATGTTCTGCTCTAGCTTTGTAAGGTAGCTTGTAATTTGTACGTTTCACTCTGGTCACCTAGCAGTTTCATTGCTGTTTTCTCTGTTAGAAGTGGTTTATGATGTTTCTGAGGTGAATACTCATCACTGTGTAAATAATTGAGAAAGGCTTCCTTTAGAAGAGGTAGAGTTATTAATATGTTAAATTACAGAAGCGATCCTGTGCAGGGGTATTCTATAAATAAGAAATGGATTGGAAGAAAGTAGAGAATCAAGAGAATTGTGGAGTCGTGAAGGAGGACAATGTCAGAGAGCTAGTAGCATCTTGCCTTGATAAGGGGCCAAGTGCGGGGCAGCCTAGGAAGTGGAAGCAGTAGTTTTACAGTGTTATAAGCTGCTAGACAGTGCAGTGTTCTGGTGAGGTAAGTGATGGGCAGCTATGTTTGGAAGCTTAGACCATGAGTTCCAGACTGTGAGTAGTTGTACAGAGGTGAAGTCTGCGTTTGCCTCCAGTGGCAGCACATGTACCTCTGGAGTATGACTTGGCTACCTCTACTTGTATTATCATTAATTTTTATTCTTTTTTGAAAAGCATTTGCCTATCATTGCTGATTGTATCTAATGGAGATACAGGATTGCCATCTTATATTGATCAGAATCTGTTTTACAAGGACAATTCTGTTTTAATCCTTTCCTTCTGAAATAGATTATATCGTTCTAGGTTGGTTTTCTGTGTTGCTGTTGGTGGTCACATATAGGACTTTGACCTGTGAGTTATACTCCCAGTTTTCAAAGATTTTATTTTAAGTGTGTGTCTGTCTATGTGTGTGTGTGTGTCTGTGGGTTAGTGCATGTTAGTGCAGTATCTGCAGAGGCCACGAGAGCCCATCAGGTCTGGGATTTTTACCAGACGTGGCTCCTGTGAACTGAATATAGTAGGTCTTCTATAAGAGCAGTGTGTAGTCTTAACTGCTGAATCATCTCTCCACCTTCATTTCTCAGTGTTTATAGGAGAAAGATTGGGAGGTCTGTCGGGTGAGGTGACCTGTCTTAGGTTGCATAGATACTAAGTAGAAGCCCTGGGAATTACCTGTGTTCATAACTTATTGCCATGCTGTGAGTTCCACTATCATCCCACGCCTCTATTTGAAACATTCTGCCACAAAATATTCTGGATGGTGTCCTGTCCTCAAGCTGTATTCTGCAGGATATTTCTGTCAACTCATGCCCATTCTTACACATTCATTCATTCATTCATTCATTCATTCATCAGGCAGATGATGCTCCAGGCACATGTCTAACTACTGTGACTAGCAGTAAGCAAGACAGATGGTGCCTGTAGTCCTTTTGAAGCCTGTGCTAACAACATTCATGGCAAGCTGAAGAATTAATTGGGAAGAATGAACTTATATCAGAACCCCAGTAATGAACTTCTGAGTTAAGAGGATTCTGCCTGCCTTTTTCAGAGGTATCATTTGGTGGTGGCTCTTGAGGAAGTTATCTGCAGAGGGGAAAGAAAGGATGCTTAACATGGCGAGGAACCTGATGAGTGAGCCTCAAGGTCATATTGTCTTCTCTTGAGAACTATCTAGATGCAATCCCTGAAAGGTTGGTTATTGTTAGTGATACCTAGGATTTGTTTTCATTAAATGATCAGGCACCCTGATATGAAAATGACTATAATGAAGAAAGAGGTTTTAATTATATTTACTCTTCCCTTAAAGCAGGAGGCATGTCATACAGGGTCATAGAGGGTTTCACAGACATGAAATCAGCAGATAGAGAGGGCTGAGGGCAAGAATGGTCAAGACAATGTGAGCATACTAAGCAGAATTTAGGGTTATGAAGTTTGAGTCATTTGAGCTGACTCTAGGCTGGTTGTTCATATCTGGCCACTCGGTGATTTGGGAGGAGCCTCAAGTCTCAGAGTGTGAGAGCACAGAACG